CTGTAAAAATGACAATTTTAATGATAAAAGACTAAACACGTTACAGTAAAATCCTGCTAATGGTAAATGGTAAGTTTCCATATTCTATACAGTGAAAAATTGTAATAGATAAATTGTAGAAAATTATAATAATTACATTTCATTTCATAAAATGTACATACAGTTTGTGGAAGTGAGAAAGTCGTCTTATTTACAGTGAAAAGCTGTAAACTGATGTCCCCAGAATACCACAGCTCACAATTGGTTTTTATTTTAAATAAATGTTTCTTCATGACGTTTAAATCTGTATGCCTTTTTTTTCTGTTGAGCACAAAAGATATTTTGAGAAAAAAAAGTAAACATTTTTTGTGCATAAAAACATGTTTGCTTATCAACGTTCAGATATCATCTTTTGTGTTCCACAGAAGAAAGTAAGTCAGGTTTGGCAGTGAACTGTCCCTTTAAGAGCGTCTGCTACTGGCATGCAATATCAAATCATGGTGAGCAACTAAAGCCTATTAACTTGAAAATAAATATGTAAATTAAAAAGCCCTTCAGGTTGTCCCAGTTCAGTACTTCCTGTTTGGAAATGATAAGAAAAGAAATTGCTTGTCAAGCCGTTTCATGGGGTCTTTATTGTGCATTCAAGTTTGATCAGTGAACTGAGCAAAGTAATATTGTTTAATCTGTTTTCATAAATGTAACCATTTATTGTCTTCTAATATTGATGTTGCTGCAGCCGTGCCTAAGTAACCTTCATAAGTAGGGATGTAACGATTAACCGCGAGCCGGTTGAAAATCGATTCAAATATGTGACGATTCAAATCGGTTGAGATGCTAAACAAATCGCGATTCAGTTAGGGGTAGGAGTTTATATGAATGCATGTCTGAGGGGAACTTACTGTATTTTGATGGAAGCAATCAAAACCAACAAAAGAGCAGTAAATTACAAGTGCTATATTAGTATAATATAGTATTATATTTCAATTTCACAAAGAAACGTACAGTATATTGTCCAAGCAATAATAAAAAGACACATTTAATTTATAATTTGTCTTAAATCTCATTTTGTAAAAAATAATAATAATCGTGAATCGAATCGAATCGTGAGTTGAGTGAATCGTTACATCCCTATTCATAAGTGTGGTAAAATCAGTGTAACACATGGCCTCTCGTAGCTTACAGTCCTGACTAGACAAATAACACAGCATGGGAATGCCGCAGGCCGTCTCTCTGCATGTGTGAGTGCAGTCCTTTATTCATGAAGATTGAACACACTCATGCAGCTGCAGTGAAGGCTGCGCAGCCGTGTTTCACACAGCAGTTTTTGTGATGTAACGTTTGGGGAACGGAAACATGCGCAGATTTCCTCTGTGTGCTCAACTGTGAGTAAGTCTGCACATAATATAGCTCTATCAATAAATGTCTTCTGGGTCTGTGTGTGCGCCGATAGAGTTTGGAACAGAAGCGTATTGATTAATTCCTGTGAGTATAACAGCCCATATTTAGACCTGTCTGTCTGAAAACACTGAATTACTCCGCTGAGGAGCAGAAGGATGTGGGACTGCTGGGTTTATGTGATGCTTTTATTTGTGCGTCTACACACACTGATTTTAAAAGTACAATCATAAAATTAATTTAAATTGAATAAAGCTTCTTGAATGAACAGCATATTCTTTATTGTGAACATTGCATTTGTCAGCAGCATTTGATGTATTTATGAGAAAAGCTGTGGGTAAACATGTTTAGTTGTGCTTGCTAAACCCTCACTCTATTAATCATACTGACGTGAACAAACCCCTAACCATGACTGCTAAACGATTCAATTCAATTCAAGTTTATTTGTATAGCGCTTTTTTTAAACGATCACTATGATCACTATTTTTTTAAACGTCCACATTTTTGACTAGTACTAGATATAGAATGCTATGGAAGCCCGTTTCCGCCACTGAATAAAAAATAAAAAAGGTAATTGCGACTTTTTATCTCACAATTGTGACTTTTTTTTCTCATAATTGCGTGATTCAAACTAGCAATTCTGAGTTAAAATCATAATTGTGAGATATAAACTCGCAATTCTGAGAAATAAAGTCAGAATTGTGAGAAAAAAGTCAGAATCGCAAGATATAAACTCGCAATTGCAAGAAAAAAGTCAGAATTGTGAGATAAAAAGTCGCAATAACCTTTTTTAAATTTTTTATTAAGTGGCGGAAACGGGCTTCCATAAGAATGCAGTATATACATAAACACATTTTTTGCAATGATGACTCAAATGTGGCGATGAACACTTATAATGACGTGACAAAGATATGTAATGGAGGCAGGGCATTTAACAATTTAACAATAAACTTTATTATCCAAAATGAGTCTGACATCAGTGCACTGAACAGTAAAGTTGAAGTTTAATCCACTTTATTTCAATTCAATTCCACAGGATTAAGAACCGCTGCTTGATAGCATTGCGTCTCACCAACTAGGTGATAACGTAGCACTAAATCACCATTCAACAGACTCAAGCCACCACTGCACAAACGAGTTAGCAACTTCCCGTTAAGACAGCGCTTAAGTCGTGAAGACACTGCTTTGAATGCGGCTGCGTGAACAAGAGACCTCCTTACTGAAGTGAAAGTGCCCCCTCTCGAACGCCACCCTCCGCGAGTCGGTAGCCCCTCGGGATCGCCCGACCGCGACTTTGACCGCCCGTAACTCCTAGAGTTCGAGAGGGAGCCTCAAGATGAAGGGATCTCTGAATTTGGTGCGGATCGGCCGCGCCGTTACGGAGATACGACCGTTCAGATTTTCAATGGTTTTCCATACACTTAAGCTTTCAAGCATTTCATCCAGATCGTCAGTAGCAAACAATAAAGCTCAGTCTGCTGGACAAACGTAATTACACAATTTACAAGCATTTTATATGCCTTATGTTCTGTAAAAAAAAAGGATATACGCCGATTGCGACAGGATCATATCGGCCGATAAAGTCGGCAAAACGATATATCAGTCGCCCCCTCTCGAACGCCGCCCTCCGCGAGTCGGTAGCCCCTCGGGATCGCCCGACCGTGACTTTGACCGCCCGTAACTCCTAGAGTTCGAGAGGGAGCCTCAAGATGAAGGGATCTCTGAATTTGGTGCGGATCGGCCGCGCCGTTACGGAGATACGACCGTTCAGATTTTCAATGGTTTTCCATACACTTAAGCTTTCAAGCATTTCATCCAGATCGTCAGTAGCAAACAATAAAGCTCAGTCTGCTGGACAAACGTAATTACACAATTTACAAGCATTTTATATGCCTTATGTTCTGTAAAAAAAAAGGATATACGCCGATTGCGACAGGATCATATCGGCCGATAAAGTCGGCAAAACGATATATCAGTCGGGCTCTAAATTTAATATAATTATTTTATATTTTAAAATGGAATTTTCAATATGTGGATCATGTGAACTGAAGACTGGAGTAATGATGCTGAAAATTCAGCTTTGATCACAGAAATAAATTACAGTTTAACATGCATTCATACTTTATATTAGCTGTTTTTAACGATGTACTTACATCAGAGATAATCATTTGTTTGGTACAGTGTACTTATTGTGTTGATGTTGTATTGCAAATCACATTTGCTGAGAGGTGGGATATGGGTAAGGTTAGGGACAGGTTTAGTGGTAGGGTTAACTGGTTTAGGTTAGGTTTAAGGGTGGATTAAGGGCTGGAAAGAGTCAACAGTGTACAGGAAGGAATTTTAAAATATTAGTACAATGTAAAACCATGTATACCATAAGTACATTGTATCAAATTATTAGTTTATATGTAAGTATATAGTAGTTAAAAACACTTAACATTAAGTGGATCCCACAGTATGATATTAATTAAATTATAATAATATTTCACTATTACTGATTTATTTTGTTGTTTGATCAAATAAATGCAGCTTTGGGATAGGGCTGTCAAAATGGCTGAAAAACTAAATTCGAATTTTGTACTTAAATATAATCAAAATTCGAATTATATTCTAATTTAAAATGCATAATTTCAGTTAGGGTGAAGAATAACTTTTGGCCTCTCTTCTGAGGCCACAAGAGGGCGCATCGAGCAAAATATTACTAATGCACGTTTATTCAAAGCATAAGAAAAAAAAAGTGTGAAAAAAGTGCATAATAATGTTTTTTTTTTTAAACATTTATAAGTAATTAAGTTGCTTAAACAACTATAAACAAAACAGCATCATGTATGTATGAGCCTCCTTAACGCACACCTAAAAACGTTTTTGCATTCGAATGTGGATTTTTATTTTCAATTCAACAAATATTCGAAATTCGGATTTTTTTTTGACAGTCCTACTTTGGGAAGCATTCCTTCTTTCATAAACATGAATTATTAGAAAGTCTTGACCAGTAGTGTGCTTTGAAAACGTTGTGCTTTAATCGCATGTTTGAAACGTTCGTTGGTGGTTCTCCACTGTGAGAGACGAGGTGATGTAGATGGTGGAGCAGAGATCCTGCTGCTGTTCGGTGCATGTAGGGACAGACGGATGCACTCACTAAACCGCTGCATAATGCATGAGGCTGCTGGAGCTGCGAAAGCCTCTCTCTTACACCAGTATATTTCCTTGTGCACATTCATCAGGGCCTAAACATGACACCCTACACACATTTGACTTCTCTAAAGAGTGAAACTATTTATTTACATTATAAATGTAATGTGGGACTCGTATGTAACGTGTCACTGTATGATTATATGCTGCTGCAGGTTGCTGGAGGTATTGAAGAAAAGAGACACTCAATATAGAAGATCTTTATGAGTTTAGGAGCTGAAGGCTCTCGATCTCCCGTGAGATCTTTCTGTCTGCCTGTTCCTCACTGCAGCAGCCCTGAGCTGATTTATTCGCTGCGGTTAATATCAAGTGTATAATGATCCTGAATAAGTGGTTTTCATTTGAGTTTATATATCTGGGTCTCAATCCTCAAAGCAGACGATTGGTGTGCGATTGGTTGTTTTAATTGGTTGTGTGTGTGTGTGTTTCAGGACCGTAAGCTGACGAAGATGGAGAGGCAGCGCTTTAAAGAGGAGGCTGAGATGTTGAAGGGGCTCCAGCACCCAAACATCGTGCGCTTCTATGATTTCTGGGAGTCTCCGCTGAAGGGGAAGAAGTGCATCGTGCTGGTGACAGAGCTCATGACGTCAGGCACGCTCAAAACGTGAGGACAGCTCTGCTAAACCTCTCAGACGCACTAAAAATGTGTATTATTATTATTGTTAAATTACATTTAATAATTGAAGAAATCTTTACATTAAAGAGAATATAGGCCTACTCAGCAGTGTGATCAAATTACAAAAAAATCTATATCAAATTGAAAAATTGTGATTTTGGTAGTTTAAAATGTTGTAAAATTTTGCTTTTTTAATCAAATTTTAACAATATGTTAAAAATGTATGATGACAGCTTTAAAATATATTGTTCAGCGTTTCAGGGCGATAATATCGTGATCTTTACTGGCGACACAAAAGGCACCAAATGTAAGGAGTGACCTATATAATAGTTAAAGACACCTAATATAAACTGGGTCTGTAGCTTTTATGAAATGCTATATTTCAAGTCTTCTAAAGTCGTGTGATAGTTCTGTAGCTGTTTAGAGGCATCGGGATAAGTCTGATATCACTCATACCGTACGGCAGGGGTTCAGTTTGGAAGTGCATGATGGAGGAAGGAGACTTTCACTGGGTAATTCCTCTCACAAAGCTAGCATATGACTGCAGAAGACACGTGAACCATACACTGACTGTTGTTATGGTAATTTCATGCTTTCATTTCATCCTTTGGGGTGCTCTTTTGTCTGTTTAATTGTCAGTAAGAGTTGAGATGTGTAAGTCTCCTTTGGCTTTCCAAGAAGGAAAAAGTCACATGATTTTGTGATGACATGAGGCTGAGTATGTGATTTTTGGGTAAATCACTCTTTAAAGAAAAACAGCTTTTCTTTGAGAGCGAGAGTTCTTGAGTCGCCACTGTTACACACATGCAAGTGTTCGCAGTTGATGCAAAATGCAAGTAATGCTAATTGTGTTTTGTTTTCTCCAGGTATCTGAAGCGCTTCAAGGTGATGAAACCCAAAGTGTTGCGCAGCTGGTGTCGTCAGATCCTCAAAGGCCTGCACTTCCTTCACACACGCACTCCTCCCATCATCCACCGGGACCTGAAGTGTGACAACATCTTCATCACGGGGCCCACGGGCAGCGTGAAGATCGGAGACCTGGGTCTGGCCACGCTCAAAAGAGCCTCCTTCGCCAAGAGTGTGATCGGTGAGACAGCAGTCCACTCATATACAGCTTTTGTGTTCTTTTATAAAGCGGAGAGTTCCGGTCCTTGATTCTGATTGGCTGAGCCGCGTTCGAAGCTGTTGTAAATGACTCTACAAACATACACCTTTGTTTACATTTGTGTAAACTATATTGTTTGCTGGAAGAATACTGTTTTTATTAATATCATTACACTTTATTTGCTCCGTTTTATTCTGTGAAACCTTACTACGTATATGGAATAACCGTTTTATAAAAGCAATAAGCCCCGTGAAGCCGTGGTTTACAGTGAATTTATAACAGCTAAGGGGCGTTGTTAGGAACGACGAGAAGCTGTTATAAATTCACTGTAAACCACGGCTTCACGGGGTTTATTGCTTTATTATGAACTATTCTGGTTCATCCGATTATGCTTTCAGCTACCAATGAGTGTAGTACTCGTTTGACCACGTTCAAACCCATTTCACAGATTCCCCCCACCACAAAAAACATCTATAGATTCCAAGACCACCTGCAACATTTTGTCATTAATTTGAGATTAAGCTAAATTGAGCCCCGTTAAAGCAGAGTGTGTGTTTCTCTGTGGATCAGAACATCATTGCATGCTGTCATTTGTTTGTGTGATCATATCCTTAAGGTACGCCAGAGTTCATGGCTCCAGAGATGTACGAGGAGCACTACGATGAGTCCGTGGACGTCTACGCGTTTGGCATGTGCATGCTGGAGATGGCCACGTCTGAATACCCATATTCAGAGTGCCAGAACGCCGCTCAGATCTATCGCAAGGTCACCAGCGTAAGTCACACCACACTTAAACATATTTTCTCATGTTCTTACCACAGTGATCATTTCAGGAAGAATGCTGTGATTGTGTGACTGATTTAGTCCTTGAGATCTGTTTATGAAGATCCGCCTCAGCATGTTCCTACATGTTCATTGAGCACAAACAAGGAAATATAAAGCATTAAAAGTCAACATATTATTCCCTTGAATTGGAGTCTCTCCACAAACATGACTATTTTCATGGAAAATAGATTCTGAAAACCTCTGTTGTGGATGAGCAACTGCATTAATACCAGTTTGTAGCATTATGTTGTAACATTTTTGGAACTGATCCTTCGCAAAGACCTGCCCCCCTTAGTTACTGTTGCTACGTCCACTCTCACGCCACACATCATGTTCTCACGCAGTGAAAAATACATCACGGAGCAAAGAGGACACTGAGAACATGCCAACAGACGAGACAGAGCAGGTTACTTTAGGTATGAAACGAAGTCTCAGCGTTCAAATTTTGTGTAATTTTCGGATTATTGTTTGGATGTTTGGATCACACTGTAAATAAACTGCACTTGGGTTCTTCACTACTCTCACCTTCAGTGGACTTTATTCATTACAGAATACACGACCGAAAAAATGAACCCAAGTGCAGTTTATTTACAGTGTGATCCAAACATCCAAACAATAATCCGAGACTTGACTTGACATGAACAGACTTGACTTGACGAGGCATGAACAGACTTGACATGAACAGACTAGACTCACCAACATAAATACATTCAATACACGACGACAGACAATGGCAACATGATGGCTACTTATAGGAAACAAGAAGGTCACATGACAAGAACAAACCAATGGGAAACAAGACACATGACTAAAACAACCAATCAGAACATGACACATACACAAGGCTGAGATACATGAAGGCAAGGGAAGTATGACAAACATGAACACCAAACACCACATTACAGCACCATAAATTTAAACTCTCGATTATGGATTAACTTTAAACTCTTTAAACTTTTAAATAAAACAAAATGCACATGAAATTAAAATATGTAACTGATTGAACAAAAACAGTGGAGATCTGACAAAAAAAAAAGGTCTCAGAGAGGTGTTTATTACTAATATAAATATGAAAATTAAAGCACATGGAGTTGGCAGAGTGCGAGGGTCGTGACGGGATGCGGATCCATCACTCATGTTGCACCTCGGTGTCGGACAAACAGAAGAAGTGAGGAATATGTTTAGCGTTTAACAGCAGCGGTCACGGTGATGATGAGGCAAGCACCAGTGAAGTGATCGCGGCCGCGC